CACCGTACAACTACGAGAGTAAACACATATATAAATACCTAAATAAAAAGTACGTTAATCCTACTATTTGTAAGAACTTTCAGAAATCAGTAACATAATATACACGTTCTTGGTGTCTCTGATGGCATGAGAAAAAGCAATTGGAGTCTCCGCATATACGCGTAACCAAAGGTTACTAAGTTATTCTGTGTAATGTTCTGTTATTTATTCTGAAATTTTAAAAACACAATAGCAGCAGAAAAACAGGGGCAGCAAAAAACACAAAACAAATGTTACTACTTTTTACTGTAGCCAAGTTTATTCCAAAATGCCAGGTTTCGATACCCGTGGGGCCCGGCATGGCCAGGTGGTTAGGGCGCTCGACTCGCAATCTGCGGGTTCGAATCCCTGTCCCACCAAACATGCTCGCCCTTTCAGCCGTGGGGGCGTTATAGTATGACGACCAATTCCACTATTCGTTGGTAAAAGAGTAGCTCAAGAGTTGGCGGTGTGTGGAGATGACTAGCTGTCTTCCCTCTAGTCTTCCACTGCTAAATTAGGGACTGCTAGCGCAGATAGCCCTCGTGTAGATTTGCGCGAAATTCATAGCAAATAAACAAACAATCGATACCCGTGAGGTGGGGGGGGGATACAGAACTGGTAGTCCATTGTGTATCTATGCGCTGAACTACGAACAAATCAAATCTTCCCAGCTTCCCAGATCATCAGCTTAGGTGAAGTTTTCAGATGATATTTTTTATATACTGAGTTTAAACTTCCGAAATAATCTTGTGCTGTATAAATTCTTGTTCATACAAGGTAATATTTTCTTATTTACGCAGAATACTTCCCTATTTAACAGAGTTGGTTAAATTCGGTTCAGTGTTTCAAATTCATTATGTCAGTTTCTACTCATGATGTTTTGGCGCCATTTTAATATCTAATTTACAAATCAAACGCACAGAGAATTTCGTTTAATGATAAGCATTCATTACTGGGCCCTGTTTACATAATAAAAATTCAACATTATACTCTTTTTCAATTGCAAACATTCAACATTATATTTTGTTGAATTGTTATAAATAGTAAATATTAGACTCTGTTTGATTGACAAGCATTCAATTTTCAACTCTTTTTGATTGGCAAACTTCAATATTAGGCTCTGTTTGATTGATAAGTATTCAATATTAGACTGTTTAAAAGATAAGTATTTAATATTACGCTCTATTTAAAAAATAAATACCTTTGTGCTTAATATCAAACAAAACAAACAAGCTTGTCTATTCCTCTTAATTGTCTTTTTTTTTTACGGATACTCACACATAGCTACGTAAGGGCCGTACCTACTTTAAACTAATAGACTAGAAAGAAGGCAGCTAATTATGAGCACTTACCGCCAACTCTTGCGCTATTCTAATCGAATAAAGGGATTTGACCGTCACCCTTATTACACAGTTATACCTCAAAAGAACAAACTTTGTCGCTACAACAGGGAGTATTAGTGAAAAATGAATATTTTACTTTTGTAGTTCCTCCCCCAGTGACCTCGCCGCAAGAAGAGGAGTGTTCAGTCGGCGCCATTATGGATCTGTAGAAATGGTAAGTGGTGAAGTTAATTGTATTTCGAGTGCTGTTGTTTTTATGTGTACTTACGTGTTGATAGTGACCAACATTTTCGATATATGCTTTATGTGTATATATATACACAAACTATGTGGTATGATAGATAGAGAGATATTCAGCTGCTAAATCTTCAACCTAAACAACAGGAATCCTTAATTGTGTCTCAGTTGGGCCTTACCTAGAAGAATTGTGCCGTGCTGCCAGTTGGAAGGCTCAAGGTTCGAGTCACGATATGCCGCTCAACAAGTCTAGCGCATTTATCTGTGGGCGCATCATAATTATAACCATATAGCCGTATAAGTAGCAGGTGCTGATTGACGGTACCCTTCCTTTGGTCAGCAGTTATAAATTAGGTATGGTTATCCATGAACCTTGGGGTTTCTCTCCTGGCTGTTAAGTCCATATGTTCTTTAAGGTGTCGTCCAGGTTGAAATACGAAATATCAAGGTTAAGTACTTTCTTAAGTTGATAGTATTTTATTTTTATATTTCAGCTAGCTTCAGTTGATCAAGATGGCACTGATCATTTCCGGCGATTTAGGATAGAAAATGGTGAAAGAGTTGACAAAGACGAGGTAAAAATATTTCCAAACAAAATCTTGAAAAGAATTATATTTAAAAATAGATAATAACATTCCACTTTACCATATTACTAAACATCTCTTTAAGCTTGCTGATGTGAATTAATATTGAAAGTATATTTCATAGTTATGAGGAGACTGAAGAAACAAGTTGATTCTTAAAATGTAACTTTTTGGTATTATGAATTTATAGCCGAAATTGGTTAACTCTTTTAGTGTTACAGACGGAAAATAGTTTTTTTTCCATGAAAAATAAAATACAATATTGTTAATACGTTGTAAGTTAGGTTTAAATTAATTATCATTGACTAAGAAACTATCGAAAATGGAACAGAAACATGTAAATAATTTGATTCAAAAACATATCCAAAAAATATCTGTCAAGTCGAAACACATCACTGATTTCCCGTCGTCTCTGGATTTTCGAAATGAAACAAAAAATATGCTATGATGTACGAAACACGTAATATACCAATTATTCGCTATATCATTTAAGAAAAGGTATATTTCATTCAGGTATAGGCAGGGCCAGGTGGTTAGGGCGCTCAACTCGCAATCTAAGGGTTCGAATCCCCGTCCCACCAAATATGCTCGCCCTTTCAGCCGTGGAACCATTATAATGGTACAATCAATCCCACTATTCGTTAGTAAAAGAGTAGCCTAAGAGTTGGCGGTGGGTGGTGATGACTAGCTGCCTTCCCTCTGGCCTTTCACTGCTAAATTAGGGACGGCTAGCGTAGATAGCCCTCGTGTAGCTTTGCGCGAATTTCAAACAAACCAAATCATTTAGGTATAATATCTAAAAATTTAGTTTGTTTTCTTTCAACTAAAATTCTACAAGGCTGTACTTATTATTATTGTACACTTTTATCCCTGAATAATTATTTGTCCTAATATGATTTTTATTTGGTAATTAAATTTCAATGCTTAAACAAAACTTCAAAAGAAGTTTCAGATCTGAGTAGAAATCACTTGTTTCAACTGTATTCATTGTCATAATATTTTTTAGTCTAATGTTTTCTATTTTCTCCGGAATCTTTTTTTTTCTTCAGTTGTACGGATCACCTAGTACTCCTTTCCTGGAGAATCCAGAATATCAAACCAGATGGTACTTCAAATACTTCCTTGGAAAATGTAAGTAACCATAGCAACATAATTTGATGTAAACTGTTTCAAAATCTGAAAGTGAAGCAGAATAATGATGTTTCATTAGATAAAATGCGTCTGTATCATGTGTACTTTGTATATGAGTGGACTTGAAGCTAGATGAAACATGCAGTCTAAATCAGCCTTACCATCCATGCACATGTCAATTTTATTTAGTTTGTTGTATAGATATATATACATGTAGATACACTAGTATGCTTTACATTAATTATATGAAAGATATTAAATTTCAAAGCATGCACATTACACAAACTAAAGGTTGTGGAATCAATAGAGGCCGTAAATACTCAGCTTAATAATAACATGTACGCTAACAAAAATATAAATACAATTTTTAGAGTTTTTTTCGCATGACTGGGGTTGTTTTATTACACTCTGTTAATAATTTAACAAACTTTTTTGAGTCCCCTAATAAATGTATAAAATACAAGCTATGAATTGGGATTAACCAAAGCTAAATTGTTTCTAGATTAACTAATGGTGAATTATCTAACATAACACAATTTTAAATAAAAATTATATATATTTACAGTAAAATATCAAATATATTCAACATTTCCTTGTAACTTATGAAGGTTTAGTATCTGTACTCATTTCTTTTCATCACAACAAAATTAACATGTTTAGCAAAAGAATGTGAAAATGACACTTTAATTGTCTTTTATTTTAAGAAAACTTTAATATATCTAAGATGTATTTTAGTGTGATGTAACAGTATCTGAAGGTGTTAGATACGAATAGGGATATAATACGTTGCCTATTTGCGGTGTTAGGTGATAGATAGAACGTTTGTTTGTTTGTTGTTCAACACAAAGCTACACAACGGGCTATCTGTGTTGTACCCACCACGGATATCTAAACCCGGTTTTTAGCCTTAAAACTTATCGCTGAGCCATTGAGGGGGTTGATAAATATATGTTTAAAAATAACTTAGATAAACTATACAAAAATCTTAGTTCGTTTGGAAACATTGTGTTTTAAGTTAATGAATTAATTAAACAGCACCTGTACACATAAACTAGTTTTCAATAAAGCTCATTTTATCATGCAATAATTCAGCTTTGGATACTCGTTTTTAAGTTTTTTAACATTGTGTTTTATTAGAACAAAGCCCCCAGCTGCAAGTTTTGTTTGTTTGTTTGAAGTTAAACACAAAGCAACACAATGGGCTATCTGTGTTCTGCCCACCACGGGTATCGAAACACGGATTCTAGCGTTGTAAGTCTGCAGATATACCGCTGTGTCACTGGGGGCCAGAGGTAAGTCAGAGGACCTTATAATATTAAAAATTGGGTTTCGATACCAGTAGTGGGCATAGCACAGATAGCCCATTTTGTAGCGTTTCACTGAACAACAAACAAAATTAGAACAAAAATGCTTATCTCCTGAAAGTGATATTTGAAATTGAACTTTTTAAGCTCGTGATCTGAGAAACAGGTATGCACATAGTACACATCTGTATAATTGGAGCGTGTCTAATGACGTGTTTTTTATTTTTTTTATGTTTATTTTTTCAGTACATCAAAACTACGTTGGAGCTGACAGTGAAAAGTTGCCCTTCTTCTTATCTGTTGTGCTTACGGATGCAAACACTCAGGGTTTGCAGCAGTACAGAGCCATCTTGTGGCGAAAGACGGTAAGCCGAAAATGTGTCTCTTCTGAGTTCTTAGAAAACCGAATAAATATTTAGAAAATATTTACGAGAAGGATATTCTGTTAAAACTAACATTTAGAGTATTTTCAGGATCAGACCTGTTTTACAATAACTGTTATATATTTTCTATTGAAAATTTAATTATAGAATGTGTTATAAACTAAGAGCTCATACTGACTTGTGTTGTTCTAACTCATGATATAATAAAACGGTTGGTTTAGAAAAATGATGATAATTGAAGAATATTCACACAATTAACAAATCTATTTTGTGTAGGGAGCGCAGAAGATATGTCTGTCCCATAATCCTAGTAAACCGTTAACAGTGAAATCAATACTCAGGTAAGGAAATGTATCAGAGTAGACTTTAGTTACAGAAGAATAATTCTTAAAGACTGAAACAACTATAAAAAACATTGATAGATAAATAGACGGACAGACAGATAGATAGATATATAGATAGCTGTTATGATGTCTAAAAATATCTTAGGAATTTTATTCAGGGAAAATCGTTGACATAATTTTAGGTTTACAAACACATTAGATAAATTAACCTTTAATGTTTTATTTCATATAAAAACAGCAGAAAAATCGTACAGACTACCATAATATATATTTCTTACTTGTTAGAGATCTAACAAACAAAGTCACGTGGAAAGGAACCGTTCCTAAGTATTTTTCTTTCACTATTTTTTGACAGATATTTTTTTTTATATTTTCACTAATTATTTCAGTATTACTTTACTATTTCCAGTTTAATTTATGGGTTTAAAACAGTTATGGTCTTATATGGATTGAAAAGAAGAGGGGTGACTTTGTATTATGTAAACTCGCATGTTACTGTGTATTTTTGTAGTCCAGTCTAGGTCTTGTTTTTGTCAGTAGAAAACTAAACTTAACTATTATTTTTATATTTCAATCTACAACTTCGTGTCTTTCTTTCTCACTGATTCATTAATATACTAACTTAGATGTTATTTTTTAAATTTTAGTCTACAACTCCAGAAATTCATGTCTTTGTTTCTCACTGATTGGTTATCATACAGAAATAGACGTTATTTTTTAAATTTCGGTCTAGGACTTTAAAAGCTCATACCTTTCTTTATGACTGATTGTTTACCATAAAAACTTAGATGTTATTTTATGAATTTCAGTCTAGGACTCTAGAAACTCTTGTTCTCATTTCTGACTGATTGGTTACCATAGAGATTTAGATGTTATTTTTTAAATTTCAATATAGAAATCCAGAAACTCTTGTCTTCATTTCTTACTGATTGGTTGCCATAGAGATTTAGATGTTATTTTTTAAATTTCAATATAGAAATCCAAAAACTCTTGTCTTCATTTCTTACTGATTGGTAACTATAGAAACCTAGACGCTATATTTTTAATTTCAGTCTAGGACACTAGAAACTCGTGTCTATATTTATGAATTATTTGCTATTATACAAATCGTGATTTTTAAAATAAAATAACAAAATATCTTTAACAGACTGACTACTGAATAATTTAGAAAAATAGATTTATAGTATCAGTGCTACATATTCTTGAAATCTCGTATAAATATAAAATCACTCTATTGAGTAAAACTCAATTTAAAAGCACCTCATACATAAACCAGGGTCTTTTTTTAACTTTAAATATAACATTACTTTACTAACTTTAAAACCTAAAGATAGGTTTATTTAAGTTTTACTGTGGATCTAAGTTAACTCTTCTCACAAATAACTTTTTTCTAAACTTCTAATTTTTGATTAAGCTGAACAAATACAACATATTGAATAAAATACACACAATAACCAACAATCGAACAGTTAAACTTTTATTAGATGGCTGATTATTGGGCTAAATACACAGATGTCATCAAAAACATCATCTTGTGGCCAATATACCTTGAATTTGTAATAGTGTGTTGATACAGATTGCAAAGAAACATCAATCCAATATATTTTCATAATAGATATGTACATTTTTACCAAGCCTAAAACCGGATTAAAGTTCAATTTCTGTCATCGGTCAATTATTTTGAATGAAGCAACCTGAACAACACACAGAAATATCTGTATATTTTATATTGTTCATTGTTCTGCAGTAAGGCGTCTGTTTATTGTTAACTGTTCTTGTTAATATTATTTTTAATTTCTGTGTCTAATGTTTTGAAGTATTTTGAACGTTCAGTATTTCAGCCATACATATTTCTTTGTACGGTTTAGCAATTTTCAAAACATGGACAGACTTGAAAAAGGGCCGAAGGAGATTTTCGCCCCTGAAATACAAAAGGTATCAGAAACACTACTTACTTTCATATTATACAAAATATTTCAAGAAATTATCAACGTGAGATACTTCCTGACGAATAATCTTTAACTTTTAAAATCAACAAATTAGATTATTACCGTATTCTAAATAATGGTGTCATTAAAGTGTACAAGGAACTTCACGATATTTGTGACGTTAATTACTTAACGAAATCAAAGAAGGGAAAAAAACTTTACAAAATACTTAACAGAATTCAAGAAATATTGTAGTGATTCAATTTGTGTTGCACAACTACCATCATATGGTAATTACAATAATTATCGAGTCTGTTTCTATGGAAACCAGATATAGTTGTTTAACAAGTGGCCACTGAATTAACAAGCTGTGCAATCACTACCAATTGTTACAGCTGCTTCTAATTCACTAATTTGGTTCCATAGCGACCACTTTTAAAGGAGCACTCTCTTAATTAGAAGACCCCATAATTGGGCTAATCAGAAAATGTTTTTCAGTTTCACGATAGAATTAATTTTCTATTAAACGAAACCATAGATGTAAGTGTGTTTTGAAACAAGAGCTCAAGATACAAATAACTAATTTGTTTTTTCATCATTAATTTCAAGGTTTGTTTTATTTTAAGGAACTGCCGTTTCTGAAAACGTTAAGGATTTGTAAAAGTAAAAGTAAAAACATCTTTCATTTAAAGATTTGTTTTGTTTTAAGAATCTACTGCTACTGGTAGAATTGGAGGAAAAGTTTGTTTAATGTAATATTAAAAACATCATTAATGTATAATTTTCTTTTGTTTTAAGGATCTTCTGCTTCTAGAAGAACAGGAGGTAAGGTTTTCAACATATAAATAAAAGTACATGAAACATTCAATATATAATTATTTTAAAATATACCTAATATCCCTTATGTTTTTTAACATAGTTTAAAAGATTAAATTAAATTAAACAACCTTCTATACAAACGTAACACAGTGCAAACCAGTTGTGGATTTATGGCACACATTTGTTCTGCTAACATATAAAATATTTCTGTCTTTGTTAGTTTTGCTAATGACGTGCGAGAAACCAGCAGTCTGTTTTTCGTAAGAAATAGGCTCGTTATAAGAAATACGTGAAGTAACAAACTCTTTTAAAACAATACAGGCAGTTCTTTGTAAGAAATAACTGAACTACAAGAAAGAGATAACGTTAAGTAATATCTATAAACCAATTCAATCTCTTCTTTGTAAGAAATAGTAACTTGACCATAAGAAAGATATAAAATGAAGTAACACCTTTATTTTAAGTCATATTATCAAATGAAGACATGTTGTATTCGGAAGTTTATTCTTTGCTCGTACCATTTTATGAGCTACGTTTAAAGAACACTGTCGTTCTCTAGACTTTCAACGTAACAGTACTTTTGTGTACTATATATATATATATATATATACTAGCTGCGTTGC